CACACACACACACACATACACACACACAAACACACACGCGCACACAAACATACACACACACACAAACACGCACACACGCACAAATTCCGCCGGCCTGGAGCTGTGTGTCTGAATAAAAATCCCCCGACATTTTCCAGTGCTGGCCTTGGCAAGGCTCGGAGTACGTTCTGCTTGTCGGGGGCCTCTAAGTGATCATGATAGAAATATAAAGTGTTTGTTCGCAGCGTGAAAGAACTGCGAAGTTCGTAAGTGCAAAGTAAAAATCTGCTGCGTCGAGAGCGAAGCATAATATTGTTTGATAAGGAAGGTTTTGCTGCCTGTTTTTTTGTCCGTACGAGGTCTTGTTTTTTTGTAAGTGTTTTACGGCGCTCGCAACTGCATAAGGTCATATTATGAGCGCGCGGGACACATTAAACTTTTTCAGTTGGTAGGAAATTTTTGAGTTTTTGCCTGGGTGGCTGCCGATGCCTCCGAGGTCTGACAAAATGTTTGAATTTTTGAAAAGGGGGAATAGAAAGAGGCGTCTGCCCTGTCACAAAACGAATTTCTGTGCTCTATACTGCAGTTTTAACATGACCCTTAAGTAGTAGTCTAACGAAAGTTGCGCTTTGTACCCGTTATTCCCCCCCCCCCTTTTTTTTTCTTCTTCTTGTTTTTCATTTTTCCCCTTTTAAAAAGGTGAGACAGTAGTTGTTGTACTTTGGAGACGTCCTTCTTTGGAGTCTTGTTTTTTCTTCTTTTTTTAAAAAGTGAGCCATGAAATCTAGTGGAGTGGATTGTCTTTGTTGTCCATTTCAACAGGCACGAAGATTTGATTCCGTAAAGCCCCCTTCGTCTGCCGAGACCAAACGATCTTTGAAGAGATCTGCTTCCGATGGAAGAAATCAGTAGACAAGAAATAAAGAGATAGCACTCTGTTAGATTACATTCCACGACTGAAAGCAGTGTAACGTTACGAGAGGAATAGCTACAGGTATCTGTCTGTCTATTCCTCTCTTCTTTGCATCCTCTCCCTCTCTCTCTCTCTC